GGTGTGGTGGGCTTCGTATAAATCAAATAGCCCAATCAGCAGGAATGATGCCTTTGAATGGTTGCCTTGTGGGCTTACTTATAAACCACTTTTTTTTAATCTTTCTCGGCCCAATAACACATTGAAAATGAGAATCTTCCATCTGGAATCCTGACCTGCAAAGATTTAGTCACATGGACCAACCGAATTTTCGTAATATCGGCTGGTTTTGGTCACGTGTGTGTTTAGGATACTTGAACTTGAAGATTGAAATGCCTGCCGGAATATGTACATTGTTACAGTGTGAGCATGTTCTTGGGGAGTGCATTTGCCTTGGAATCCGATCAAAGATTACAAGTCAACAGAAAATGAAAGAGTACACACACACACGCATCGAGTTTTTTTTTTCTTCATATGGAAAGGAGAGTAGAAAACGCGTCGCAAGCCTAGAAGGTGTGTAAAAAAAGTTGCAACACAATGGACCGACCAAAAAGGGGGGCACAATGGGCATGATGGGGCAGCGAAGTGGCTTCTAACGCACTTGACACCGAACGATCATGACTCTCACACGTTTTCCGGTGAAATTTTAAAGCTACTTTCTTTTAAAAAATTTCTACCACTTGGTTTTTACTTTTACTACCATCCATCCGTCCATGGAATTAAAATAAAAAAAGAGAGAGCATAGTGAAGTTAAGGATATCCAAAGCGGAAGGATGGAATTAACATTATGTGTGATGGGTTTTAGGTTAGGCAAAGTGGGGCACTCTTCCCTTCGTCCAAGAATCTGTTCTTATCTTCGCACCTGCGTGGCAAGCGATCATATCATCCTCACCCTCCTTTTTCGGTTGCGAAAACAAGACAGACAATTAAGATATTATTTGGGAAATCAATCGCCAAGTAGTGCCCATTGTTTTATTCTGATGGATTGTTATCACATCTGAATAAATGAAATGGATGCAATTCTGTGTACATGGTTAATTAAAAATATTAGTGATAAAAATTGAGAAAAATAAACTTCTCAATTCTGATAAAATAAAACTTAAATTTGTTTTTTTATTAAATAAAATCTTAATTTTATTTTTAATAAAAATTAATTTTAATTTTATAATCTTTATCATTTTTAAATCTGAAAGATGATAGTACGTGACAAATCAATATTTTGACCATATTTAACACATCATCATCTATCTGTCACAAATATTAAAAATGATCAAAATTATGAAGTTTGAATTTATTTTTAATTTAAAAATGAAATTAATGTTTTATTTGATAAAAACAATAAAATTCAGATTTTATTTTGTTAAAAATGAGATTTTTTTTGGATTTTTTTTTAAATAAAAGAGGGGCGAAAGGAGTCAGAAGCCTAGTCAGCATGACGAGAGGAGAGGCTAACAGCTGTGAACGTGAGGGTCGGTGTCGTAATTACCCTCTGTTTTCTCCCTTTCCCACTCTCTTTTCTTTTTGTTTTTTTTTAGTATCATCCGATCGTCTCCGCTGCGAATTGTAACTGACTACATTCCAAAAACCATATACGCTGCTATCAAGCTTGACCAAAGGCTGCACCATTGATTGAATAATACCCTTATGTGGCAGTGTTACGCCTGAAATTGTAACTAGGTGTTGAATGGGAGGTGATTTTCGGAGTTTTTGAATTTTAAAAACTGAAAAAACCAACAATCAAGTTTTTTAAATTTTGGTTTTCCTAAAAATTCAGAAATCTACTTTATGGAAAAAATCAACTACAATTTTTTAGATTTACAAACTTATAAAATCCAAAAACTAAAAACTAAAAACCAAAAACTAAAGCCAAAAACCCAAAATAAAAGCCACTACCATTCAAAGCCTAAATCAATTGTAATTTTTTTTTGGAAGTTAACAACAGCAAATGTTTTTAACCCTTTGTTACCAATAGAATGGTACCGTATCTTATTCCACATCATCTCAAAAGAATCATATCTAATCATTTAATTGAATGAAAATAATTATATGTATCACACCATCCATACCATACAATCCATACGGGCTTTTGTGTGTATATAATACTCGCTTGTGGCTGTGTGCGCGTGGAAAGGCTGACCTGGACTCCACCCCGGTCGATGACCCTATATATAGAGAAACAAAGAGAGAGGAGAGCTTCGTACCTCATTTTCATCGCAAGCCGTAATTAATCGTGGATTCCTGGGGAAAGAGAGAAATGGTGGGTGTGTTTATGTTGCTGGGTTTGTTCCTATTGTCGTCGCCGGCGGTTGACGCCTGCGATCGCTGTCTTCACCAATCAAAGGCTGCTTATTTCTCCTCCGCCTCTGCTCTGTCCGGTAATAACCCACATCCATTCCCCCATTTCCTCTCTTTCTCCCAATTCGATTTTTAATTCGTCGGGTGTGGCGTGGATGGGTGCAGCCGGAGCTTGCGGGTATGGCTCAATGGCTATGGGGTTTTACGGCGGACACCTGGCGGCGGCCGTTCCTTCGATTTACAAGGATGGTGCTCGCTGCGGTGCTTGTTTCCAGGTAATTAGCTGACAACCGTCGTCCTTTGTTTGTATTACACAACACAGACCCAGATTGACATCGATTGGTATCTGAGAATGGGCAGATAAGATGCAAGGACACGAAGCTGTGCAACAGCAAGGGAACTACAGTGATAGTGACAGACGTCAATAAGAGCAACCAAACCGATTTCGTGCTGAGCAGCAGAGCCTTCCGGGCTATGGCTAACCATGGCTTCGACCGTGACCTCCTCCGACAAGGCCTCCTCGACGTTGAATACAAAAGGTACCCTCGCTTTCTGTCACCAATTCCTTCTGCCTTTTCAAAAAAAAAAAAAAAAAGTCAAGGGATCTCCTTTGTTTCTTGGTCTTAGACAAATTGCCCGGCTCATTAATGCGGCAAAAGTCTAATGTCTTGTTTGTTTTGCAATTGTGGGTCAAACAGGGTACCATGTGTGTACAAAGACAAAAACTTGGCGGTGAGAGTAGAAGAATCGAGCCAGAAGCCACACTACTTGGCCATCAAGTTGTTGTACCAAGGAGGCCAAACCGAAGTAGTCGCCATGGATATTGCCACGGTGAGTCATACAGCCATCCATCGGATATATAGCAATCTGTAAGAAATTCTAACAATCTCGTGCGTGTGCGTGCGTATTGGTCAGGTTGGATCGTCAAACTGGGGTTTCATGAGCAGGAACCATGGAGCAGTGTGGGATACGGACAGAGTACCAAGTGGAGCATTGCAATTCCGGTTTGTGGTCACGTCAGGTTACGACGGGAAATGGGTTTGGTCGCAGAGAGTTCTTCCCGCGGAGTGGGAAAACGGCAAGGTCTACGACGCCGGCGTTCAGATCTCCGACATTGCTCAGGAAGGTTGTGATCCCTGCGACGATCAAATTTGGAACTGAAGCTTTAATCTCTTGTGCATATTACGCACGTCTTCTTAATTCTTTTGCTCCTTTACTACACGTATACTATACTATGTTCTAAGACCGGAATCTCTTTTTTTCTTTCTTGTACCAGAAAATAATAGGGAGATTAAATTGTTTTCATGTAAAATTTCCTCTGCCGTAGCCTTGTTTTCGGTTATGTTATAAAAGACCATGGAAAGGTCGTGACGTGAAGGCCCATCCATTAATAAGGCCATGTAATGGGCTCATTTCGTGAGTTATTGTCTTTCTATAAACAGGCTGACCACCGTCGTGATATTTTTGCCCTCTAAATACTGTCGTCTGAAAAGGCCCAATAAAGAGCTCACACTCAGTGGCCCAAAATTGTCCCAATTGCTGTAAATTGTCCAACAAAAGTGCTTACTGCGTTTGGACCGTCAACGAGAACCATAGAGTATTTTTATTTAGTGAGACTTTTGTAATACATTTTTATTTCGGCCTCTTGCGAGTCAGAGGAGAGCGTCCAGCAGGAGAGCAGAGTTGAAAGGCCTCTGGTTGTAGCAGTCAAGATTAGGACCAGGAGAAGCCCCGAGTATGCTGCAGTATCTCTGGTAGAAGCCTATCCGGTCAGCAACCCTGTTGTCCTGTCCGTGGCCGCATTCGAGTCCACCGTTGATGATGTTGGTGATCACTCCGTAGCCCGGCACTCTTCCCGCCGCCTGGTCAGCTCCTGACGGTGTCCACTGTCCCACGATGACTGCGTGGCACGACGGTTTAGGGGACTGAGGGGTCATCCAGAACCAGATGGCGGCCTTGAAGGCGATCACGGCATCGTTGGCCACGAGGTCAGGGTTGTTCAGCAAGTCCACCCCTATGTCCCTCCCGCACTGTCCGTAGTTGTAGTTCCTATGCGTATATGTTATTGTACGTTACTTGCCAACACTTTATGTGCGTGTATATATATATATATATATGGGAATAAGCAAGCAGGTAAGGGGGAACCAGGTGAGCTGCATGGGACCGCGGCCGTAGTAGCGTTTGCCGGGAGCACAAGGCCACGTGGCACTGTTGGAGCAGTAATCAGAGGCAGGGTTCTGTTCTTGCTTGAAGCAGTATCCCCATGCGTATGGACCATCGGGTGCTGTTGCCCACCCCCCTGTTTCTCTTCTTTATTTAAAAACCATTGTACAATGTGTTCCTATACAGGTCAACCCATATTTGATCAAAGAAGAGGAGAGAATACCGGTAGTTTCGTGGGAGGTCTGGCCGAAGAAGGCGGCGATCTCTTTCTTGCGAGTGGGGGTGTCTCCGGTGGTGCCGAAGGCAGGGAAGGAGCTCGCGGCTGTAAGAAATGCGTCGTAAGAGTAGAAACCCCTGGCCGGACAGGCGCCGTCGTTCCTGTGCTTGAGCATGTCTTCGAACTGAGATCTCGAAATCACGCCGGAGATGCCGCCCGATGGACCGCACTGGCTCTGGCAGCCCTGCCCACAGTAGGGCTCGGTGTCACCGCACCACCCGTACTGGCTGCAGCACAGATTCATCGCTGCAGGATCTGTGGAGTTGGGCTCTGCTGGTGTTTCCATGTCAATCTTCAATATCATATCGAAGCTCTTCAACATTCCTCTCCTCAGTGTCGCCACTTCCTTTGTCGCCAAGGATATTTCAAAGGCTGCCATTGAAAATTTGGCATCAGGACCAGGTAAAAGCTCAGTTAATTCTTTCTCCATTTGGCTGGCTTTTCTCAGCATAATGTATATTTCAAATGGCTTTCCAGAACATAGTCATAGTGACAGACCTTATTTGTTTAGTTGAAAGGAAGCAATTATCTTCAGTGTCGACGGCTTTGCTGTTAGCCGTTGGAATTGGCATGTTCGAGGCTCTGGCTTTATCTTTGGCATCTGGACCTTTTTTAAGGTTAATGGGTGTACAGTCTGTAAGTTCAACTTTTAGATTGCTTGTTGTCTATGATATGTGAAGTTTGTGCCCTGGATTTCATCCAATCTATGTTGGTAACACACATTTTTGGATGGTTGTCTCTTTGTGACCAGACGTCTGAGATGTTTGTACCTGCACGCCAGTTTCTTATGCTCAGGGCACTTGGTCCCCTACCAGCACCACCGCTGCTGCGATCCACATCATCGTTATTGTTATCCCTCCCATCTTCATCTTCTTGTGTGTTTTTTCCTTAACTGAGACCCGGGTCAGGTGGCGTTTTTATACACAAAAACACTCGACTCCTATTTTCACTAACTTGGCATGCTGGTTATTTGATTTCTTTTTCCCCTGTTGCAAGTTTTGATTGTTGTTGCGTATATGTTATCGTCGTACCAACCAACCATATTTGAATAATCAGCTTCACTTTGTTGGGATTTTTTTAATTTATCAATATATGTATACGCATGGAGACACCTGGTACCGAAATGCGATCCGGTCTAACCGATAATTAACGGGTTTTGGGTCTAAGTTTTCCGACCCGAAAAAATCGGATTTTCGGATCAAATTCGAACCGAGTTTCGGATTCGAATCAAGCCGGTACGAAAGTCCGATATTTAAAAAAAAAAGATAAAAATAAGATTTACAAAGGGAATTATACGACCTGACTCGAGTCTGAAATATATAGAATTGGATTTCGAGCTTAAATACATAAATCCAAAAAAAATTGGATCAGTCCAAATCCGAATCCGAAACTTTCTGACCGAGTATGAATTCGGTCGGATCGGCCCGATTGATTCACTCTGAATAGGAATATGCCTCACAAATTTATCAATAATTTCTAAAGTCATGACGTGGCAAATCGAATTAAAAAAAACGAGAGGCGGCTACCATTTTCTATTAGATAACGTGAACACAGTGATTTAGACCGAAATCATTTCCGATTTTTTTTTTTTTAATAAGTGACGTTCTTCTGATGGACGTCTTTATCAAATCAATGAGAAAATTTCAAAGTAGCAGATATTATTTCCAGTCGACGCCGTGACCTTTTTGTTTTTGCCATTCCCATTGACTACCAAATTTTGACTTTATGAAACCGCATATATGATATTAAAAAAAAAAAGGATGTAAAACGGGCTTTCTGATGGGCCCTTTTAGTAAATAAGGCTAAATGGGCCTTTAGTTTTGAAGCCTCAAATGGGCTACGAAACAATAATGGTAATTAATTGAACATAAAAAAATGGACATTTCTTCTGGTTCTTCGCCACGCCCACACCGCTACTCTAAACCCTAAACCCTACTGCCCTTTGGATTAGCTCTGGACTTCATCTTCTACCATCGGTTACAAGTTTTACTCTTTCCATTTTTAGATATTCGATTTTTTAAATTAAGTTTGAAGTTCATGTGGCAGAATTAACTGAGGGTATGTTTTTCTGGTTAAGTTTGTTTTCGTGGAATTATGTTTTTTTATTCAATGAAATTTGGATTGTGTCGCCTTTCCTCCGTTGATAGTTTGTATCACTGGGGAGACTCTGAACCGAGCTTTGAAGTTGCATTTCCAGATCTCCGACAATGGAGGCCACTCAGCTAGGTGCAAATCAAGCTTCTCTAGGATTGAGTTATAGGGATAGTAGATTGGTCCACGTGAAAAGGCTGCAGGGTTTTCGTCCTTTATCTCAGAGACATCAAGTCCCAACCTTTGATGGGATTTTTCAACCACGCCGAGCAGGTGCTGCCGCAGGCAGTCGTTTATCTGTTCAACATAGAGATTCGTTTTTTGGTCTGGTGACTCATCAGAAGAGTTCCAATCTTTTCTGGGTTAATAGTCAGTTTAATCCGGATCGAGGTGTTGAATCTCCATATGCTAAATCTGATGAAGATAATGAGACTTGTAGTTCAGCGGAGAAACTCCCGTAAGGCCATTGAGTGTTACGGTTCCTGTTATTTTGTTGTTTTGCTTCAGTCCTCTGTTACATATATAATGCATTGCCTTGTTTCCTTGGCAGAGGGGTGAAGGGAGTACAAGACAGTGAATCACGACCTGCGGATGTAAAGCGAGAGGTTGTTATGCTTTCACTTCCTGCCATTGCTGGACAGGCTATTGATCCTTTGGCACAGCTCATGGAGACGGCATACATTGGAAGACTTGGTATTGTTTTTAGCACTTTGAAAGTTAGATTCATAGTTTCTTACATTTTTCTGCTGGTTTTTTTGTGTTCATGGGCTCATACTGTCCGTCGATTCATCGCTGCAGGATCTGTGGAGTTGGGCTCTGCTGGTGTTTCCATGTCAATCTTCAATATCATATCGAAGCTCTTCAACATTCCTCTCCTCAGTGTCGCCACTTCCTTTGTCGCCAAGGATATTTCAAAGGCTGCCATTGAAAATTTGGCATCAGGACCAGGTAAAAGCTCAGTTAATTCTTTCTCCATTTGGCTGGCTTTTCTCAGCATAATGTATATTTCAAATGGCTTTCCAGAACATAGTCATAGTGACAGACCTTATTTGTTTAGTTGAAAGGAAGCAATTATCTTCAGTGTCGACGGCTTTGCTGTTAGCCGTTGGAATTGGCATGTTCGAGGCTCTGGCTTTATCTTTGGCATCTGGACCTTTTTTAAGGTTAATGGGTGTACAGTCTGTAAGTTCAACTTTTAGATTGCTTGTTGTCTATGATATGTGAAGTTTGTGCCCTGGATTTCATCCAATCTATGTTGGTAACACACATTTTTGGATGGTTGTCTCTTTGTGACCAGACGTCTGAGATGTTTGTACCTGCACGCCAGTTTCTTATGCTCAGGGCACTTGGTGCTCCTGCTTTTGTAATTTCTTTGGCTCTTCAAGGCGTTTTCCGCGGATTCAAAGATACAAAAACTCCCGTTTACTGTCTTGGCAAGTACTTGCTTAGACTTTTTTACATAGTCCATTGGGAATGTCCAATCATTTTAATAATTCTCAGTTTTGATTGATTCATTATTTATTTGATAACTATTGAGTCTGTAATGCAGGTGTCGGCAATTTCCTGGCTGTATTTCTGTTCCCTTTGTTTATTTACCAGTTCCAGATGGGCATAGCTGGAGCAGCGATCTCAACTGTCATTTCTCAGTGGGCGTTTATAGATTTTTCTTCTTGTCTGGCTTTCTTCATATGCTTTATCTGTTCAGAGCAGTTGAAAACCTCTTTCCTCTGTTCCTTAGGTACACTGTTGCTGTTCTAATGATGTGGTCTCTAAACAAGAGAGTTATATTGCTTCCCCCTAAAATGGGCTCATTGAAGTTCGGAGACTACATTAAGTCAGGTATTATGGGAAACGTTTCTCATTTCTAGAACTTATTGGTTTAGTTTGTACAGACCGTGCATCAGAAATACCTTTGAGGGCCCTATTAAAATGTTTTTCTAATTGTTATGTGATCATCATCCATTTAGGCAACAGTTTCACTTTTAGAGTTACAGATTTAATCCGCACACTCGGTACAATTCAGAAGCACCTCTCGGGATCATATTAAGAACGAACTTTCTCATGGATTATGTGATTTGTGGCTGCAGTTTTTCACTTCTAGAACTCAGATCTAATCAACTTGTTCTGCGTTGAGAAGCGCATTAGGGTTTATTATAAACATGAATTGAATCTTGCATCATACATTTTAAAGGCGACACTTATCACTTCTTTAACTCATAAATGTTATCTGCACACTCTGTATACTAGAAGATTCTCTGAACTTTGTATTTAAATTATTAATATGCATTCCCCATGCTTGTGTGATTTTCAGGTGGTTTTGTTCTTGGAAGGACTCTATCTGTACTCATGACCATGACTTTTGCCACATCTATGGCTGCTCGTCAAGGCACTGTCGCTATGGCGGCACATCAGATATGCATGCAAGTATGGTTGGCCGTGTCTTTGCTTACTGATGCTCTAGCTGCATCTGGGCAGGTAGTGGGATGAAACCCTCTCACGTGATGGATTTCTTTGCAGTTTGCATTCTCTAGATCTTTATTTATTCGTGTTTTTGGTCTGGTCTGAAGTAATACAAATAGGTGTGGCTTATAATCTGATTCTTCTTCATTTCTTAGGCCTTAATTGCAAGTTCTGCATCTAAAAGAGACTTCAAAAGTGTAAAGGAGGTTGCTGATTTCGTTCTGAAGGTAAGGGCCTCTTGCCCTTTTGACAGTTTGTTTTCGTTTTTTGCACTAAAATACGCAAAGCTCAAATATTGTCGAGAGGAAGTTGGTGAGTCTAGAAGACAAGCGTGCCAGATGGAAGGATAAGGAGGTGGTATATTATTAATTATGCAGGAAATATTGAGTGACACAAATTTTATGGGTATATTAATTTGTTAGACGGTGCATGGTCTGCAAGAATGTAGTGTAAGGACTTATGGGTGGTGGATAACTACTTATGTGATCATATGGGTATTATCTCCATCAATTAATACAAGAAGTCACCCCATCCGTAGAATATTGGCTACTAGTGGCGGCCCTGGTGGGAATATTTGCCACTGAGTTTCCTTCTTCTGTTGTCTTCTTGATCCTTTCATCTATTTCTTCTATGATTTACTTTCTACAGATAGGACTGATCACTGGTATTTCACTGGCTATCATTTTGGGGCTGTCTTTCCGTTCTTTAGCTGGTTTGTTTTCCAAAGACCCTGAAGTTCTAAGGATTGTCAGAACTGGTGTATTGGTGAGTCTAAAAGGCTGTGATTTGTAGCATCTAGACTCTATTCTTGCTTTTATGTGCAATTGTTAGTAGCTCGTTTACTCCTATGATATACTTTCTGAAAAATATGCAACAGTTTGTCACTGCTACTCAACCCATCACGGCTCTAGCGTTTATCTTTGACGGTCTGCACTATGGGATGTCTGACTTTCCCTATGCCGCTTGCTCTATGGTGAGGCAGTCCCGTGTCAGATTTTGTTGTATGATAGAAAAGAAAGACTCACGTTTCCTCATGTCTGTGTACATTGGATTCCACAGATGGTGATTGGGGCAATATCTTCTGCGTTTTTGCTGTATGCTCCTTCGACATTTGGTCTTCACGGAGTTTGGTTTGGCTTGAGTTTATTTATGGGCTTACGTATGATGGCTGGATTTGCCAGGTACTACCCTATGCTATGGCCAGTGTACATAAGAATCGGTTAGAGGCACATGAATGCATTCTTTAAAATCATTAAGAATGTGTTTTCTTGAACTTTTGTCTGACATTTTATGGTATTGGTATGCGCATGATGAACCTTGTCTGACACTTTAAGCTATTGTATCATGCGCATGATGGACCCGACTAACTTTTAGCCTGGCTGGGACCCACCTGGATTTAGTCTCAATAAGGCAATAGGTGTGGAGTATACTTCTTACTTATTGAATGAGGTGCTTTTTTGGGAACATACTTGCATGGGGAAGCCACAGGATTGATATGATTTGCAGATTAAAATGCCACGAACGTAGGGTCAAAAGAAAAGGAAATGCAAATCACGGCACTCGTAGAAATTGTGAATGAAGATGGCATAGGAGTCCTATTTGTTAGTAGTCAAAGTCAATAACTTCCTGGCTTACTTGACTCCCTTTTATTTTGTTGTGAAGATTGATGTGGAGGAACGGGCCGTGGTGGTTCATGCATGCGGACCTTCATACAGCCAAGGTACGGTCACCATTAGAATGTATGATGTTAAGACTTAAGAATGGGGCTTTCTGTGCTTTCAGTTCAGGTGTTGAATGTTTGGAGGATCTTATGGCTGCCTTGACTTTTGGCGACTTTTGTTTTGTTGCAGCAACTTGCTCACTGATGTCCTCTGCCTCTGGTGTGATGCCCCCAACATAATCACTAATCATGAATATTATGGAAATAAGAGTTTTTTTTTTTTGTGGTTTGACGGCCGGCAACGATCAGTTATCAGAGGTGCTCCTGCAGTTCATGGGAATGGAACAAAGCAGGAGAACTGTGCAAGTCAGTGAGCGAATTTCAATCCATATTTTGATATGTATAGGACAAATCTTGATTTCATCCAAACAGGGGTAAAAATCACGTGGAAATGTAAAAAGGTTACCATATCGTATGTGTATATACAGAATCTATGAACTTGACTTGAAAGTGGAAACTGAAAGACGAATATGTTGTTACTTGTCGGAAATGGATGCGTGATATCCACTTGGTGCAGTCAAAAGCTCAAATAGATAGAAGTCATGTTTCTCATGAAACTCTCTCTCGTTCCATACGCTGAAGCCATTTTCTTCAGCAGGCCGTTGTGTTGCTGGTGATTAACTAGAAATGGCTATTATATTTGATGATTACAAGGCGAAACCCGACCATGGCTGATCATATTTTTTTGTAATAAGAAATCATGCTACAGAACAAAGAATCTTCAAATCTGTACAGTGTTTAATATTCATCAGACTTTTAGGGTGAGCAGAAGGAATATCAGTCATACCTTTCACAAACATGTGCAACAGCCTCAGGCCTGTGAGAAAAAAAAAAACATATGGAGTGAGGACTCTTGGCAAGGTTCGGTTTTATCCCATTGTTATGCCTTTAATAAAAAGAAATTTCAAAGCAATACATAACTCCTGGAATGGTACCTTTTCTAATCTTTGGTGATCCATCTGCGGCCTCTGATCTCAAATGCACCATAAGCCTGATCGCTGCTGCTCTCTCCCCCACTCTCAGCGCTTGTGTGTCCTGATTTCCGCCGGTGCTTTTTGGATTTTGTTACTCCGCTGTCACTAAAGCTCCCATTTAGAAGTGGATCATCAATCCCACGGATCACTCTCCGACCAGATGATGTGACACAACTATCGTCCTTGACTCTTCTCTTGTCTTTATCCTGCTTCTTTATGTTCTGAGAGATCTTGTGCAGTTTTTCATTGAATTTCGTGATGCTCTTTTCCACTGGTTCCACGGCTTGAGTTACAGTGAATTTCACATCTTTCACAATCTAAAGCATAGAGTCACCTTTGTAATCAACTCCCAGAATAATTCTTGATAAACTTATAAAAGAGTTGAAAGACTCACGTATTCACCGCCACCAACAAAAATATCTCTCATGCTTTCTTTGATGGTCATGCCACTTCTCACATCAAAATCTGGTTGTGGGAGGCCTTGCTTGGTTGGTCTCTCACTGTCCCTAACTTCATCTGGATCAAGAGGACAGTCCACAGATGCATAATCTCCAAGAACCGCAACTGCTCCAGTGAAGCGGTCTCCCATAAGCTTGTATGGTTTAGCAGGAAACACATACAGGTGAACAACAGAAGCAATACCCATCTGTGCTGGATGAACAAAACTGCTAAAATTTAATTATTTCTTCATGGAAGAAAAAGAAAGCATAGATGACTTCTGTAAAACTGTTTGTGGCAGAAAATAGAAAAAGAGCAATTCAGCCTAGGCCCGTACAAGCAACCAGAGGGCCAGTAATGATTAGTTTGGATTGCAGAAATGTTGGTAACAGAAGACATCTACCTCTATGCAAATGATGAAGTCTTGCACACTAGATTTCAACTGCAAGCTTTGTGCTATGGGACTTTTGAACAAACCCATGGAATAAAGAAGAGCAATGGCAACACCTTGCCACCAAGTCAGAAACACAATTGACTTGAACGTTAAAAACTTGGCCAGTGGCTTTATGTGCGCAAGCTCGTCTTTTGTTGCAGCATAGAACTGAACTAGACAGTACAATGCCCATGACTGACTAAAATTTAGAACAACTGCCATATACGGGTACCTACATAAAATGTGCGTACAACAAGATGACTTTTCTTTAAGGTAGTCATTGTGGATAAAACCATAACTGGCTTAACCAAAATAAAAGGGTTTTATTGTCATCTTTTTCAAAGTTTTAAAACTGCTTGTCAAGGCAGTCGACTTACCCGCAACCCCATTTAAACTCTCCTTCACAGTATACACCAAATGCTTCAAGAATCACAGCCATGAGAGCGGTCAAAGACTTTATTAACATCTGCCAAAGGAGAGATACAGTTTATGCTCCACCTCAAAGACAGAAGTGTAAAACAAGAAATAGGATGATACGAAAAAGCATGTAATTGTAAGGTGAGGCCAAACATACATATTGAACAATACCAAACTTGACGACCTGGTATAACCATCGACCAAGTCTCCATGGTTTTAAGATGTAATTCATAGGAAAAGGATGCTTTATTGTTCCTTTATCATCATTGTGATCTAAAAGAGGTGTCTTGAAGCTCATACGCCCTTGTCTCTCCATAAATTCAATGGTCCTTTCTTCTCCACCTAAGGAAAGAAATTGAAGATGAGCATGACAAGATAATTAGGTTGTTAAAAAATGCAATAAACATTTATTAGCTCTAAACTAGTGTCATACAAAACTCAGTACTTCTTTAGCTCAGCATGGAACCAAAGCAGAAAAGCAGGTCGTCTGTTCCTTAGGGAAAAAGAAAAAGAAAATTTTAAGCTAATGGATGTCACAAGCACTGAGGACCATACCTAAACAGGCGACAAGGTATCTTTCGAAACAGTACATGGCAAAAGATTCATAACAATCTCGTAGTATCCCGCAATCAACGCTAAAGGATGGATTCACCAGTGAAGCAAACTGTTCAAAGCAAACCCAGTTAGGACCATAAGCACAGTGCACAATAGGATATATCCAGGTGAAAAAATTAAGAAAATATCTTGGTAAGCATGATAATTCCTTGAGGAGTAGAATACAAGTAAACGTTCTACTAAACGTTGGCCGGTTTTATCTTTATAAATGGTCAACGGAAAATAAAAGACGAGATAAGGTACTCACGGACTCTACGGAATAGCAAGGAACCATAAGGATGACTCCGATCAGAAACTTTTGCTCCTGCAGAGAGATGACAGAAAGAGAACCCCAGAGAACCATTCAAAAAGCAATATAGAAAATCCAGAAAGGAGACACAGGCGTTGAGCTCTTGAGACAAACCTCAGGATTCTTGTAAGTGGAAAGGTGCTCCAACATTAGATATAAGGAAAGGGAGAGGGTGAGAAGTAGGAAAACACCAGCGATCAAACTTGCCCATATCGGAGGTGAGTAAGTCAATTGGGAAAGGAGATGGTAATACTTTGATGTGTCCATCGCCTATGCCAACTCTTCAACTTTGCAATCAAGATTATCAGCCAAACAATATCCCATCACAGATTAGGATCTACACGCCAAAATCTACCGGCGACAAAGCATTGCAGAAGAAAATTAGCTGAAACTGACGAGCAACATACTTTGATAAACACCGTGTAGCAGAAGCAATATCCCCAACCCCCAAGAGTCTGTCGTTCATCAATCAATTTACTGAAACGAGTTGGAACTGATAAATTTGAAATGAACCCAGCTTAAGTTTAGTTCATCTATCCACAAAAGGAATAGCCTTTCGAGCCGAGCTCAGCCGAACCTGACCGAAAATTGACGAATTTTTCAAAGAACCCTAACACAGAGTTATTACAATAAGACGCCAAAGATAGTTACCCGAACCAGAGGCGATTGGAGAAAGAGAAGGCAGAATACCTGATGACGATAAGCGAAAGAACAACCAGTGCCAAAGCGGTTTTCGCAGAATCGAGGAAAACAAGAAGTGGGTAGATATGCGGATGATGGGTTAATCGGATACTTTGTCTTGCATATCGCCGACGCATCCAAGCATGAGAGACAAAAAGATGCCTTTCATCTTCAATGGTTGAAGAAATTAAAAGTCGATTCAAAATATCTGCTTTGATTGATTGAAGATGAAAAATTACCGAAACTTTGTGGAGATAGTTTTCAGATTATCATCAATAAATCGAGAGCAATGCATCTCCTCCATTCATCAAACTGTACATATTGGTTAGCTATCTAAGCCTTCAACTTTACTCTTCTAAACTCGATTCAGAGTAGATTTTAGGCTTGAAAATTGAAAGAGAGAGAGAAACCTTTTACAGCCGGACTTCATTTAGAAAAGTTTTAACTAACAAACGGCACGCCTACTTTACGCAAAACAATAAAACGGCACACAGTCTTAAATATATCACGAGATCATTTCAATATCATCATCGTCTCGTGGCGGTTGTTCATCAATGTCACTTCGGTTGCTGAGGTTGGCTTCTCCAATTCAACTTGGCATGAAGTCCTTAGACAATTTAATATTTTTGCTAGACTTGCATTTCTAATATTTATGATTGTTGTTTAAGGTGAAAGGAAATCTGACAGTGGATGCTATAGACTATTTTGTAACTGATGCATTTGGAAAAGGGCTATATGACTCATGTAAAGAGGTGAAGTTTGGGACTATGAATACACGTGCGATAAACTTTGTTGGCGGTGGTGCTCAGAATTTCAGAGGTGACCTGCAATCTATTTCCAAGCTCGCCAAACTCAATTTCCTTGTTTGGACATGTTGTGTTTCATCTGTAGTTTGCCTTTTCAGAGTGGTTCACATTCATTGGTCAGAAAGCTTTACCTGACTTCCCCGGTTCACCGTATGCCATTAATTTCAAGCCAAGCCCTCCAGATTCATCCGCAATGATGCCGATGAATGTATCTATTTATTCTTGCGGTGATACATCACTTGGTTGCTCCTGTGGTGATTGCCCTTTGTCACCTGCTTGCTCAAACACTAAACCTCCGCCACCCCATGAAAAGGAGACTTGCTTGATTAGAATTGGTCCTCTAAAGGTTGAAGTTAGGATATTGAAACATTGTGTCTTCAGAACATAGATGAGTTGTTGTGATTTTTTATTCGATTTTATCAATTTATAATTGCAGGTCAGATGCATTGAAATATCGATGGTAGTTGTATACGTTTTGATGGCCTCCTGTTTCTTTGGATGGGCTACTTTTTATCGCAGAAGACATGCAATGCAACCTTCAAGTAGCACAGAGCCTCTACTGCAATCTGTGGAAGAAGATAGTTCTGATACTGCATTGAAGGACAGCAAACTTGGTGTCAAGGTAGATCTTAGTGTTGGTTAAAATCTGTATTCCTTGTACAAACTCTTTCTTTCTTTGTCAAATTGCTTTGCAACTACGTCACCAGCAGCTCCTTCCACCGATGATGGATTTTCTCTGCTTCTTCCTCTACATTTTCAGACAAGAGAAGAGGAAAATCATGGCGATCCGTCTCACGCTGGTTGCAGCTGTCATGCTCTTACAGGCAATGAAACTTTCTAGTCTCATGGGCAATCCTCCTTTTCTCCTCGTTCATCAGTTTTTATCGAGACGATTTGTGCAATTTCTGCCAGACCATTGCGATTCATCTTACCAGTTTCTCCACAATTTGTCTCGTTTGTCGATTCGAATTACGCTTCACAAGAGGAAATAGATGACTTTCGCGGGTCAACTAGACGTTTTTGGCTGAAAGTGTGTACATTTATTAATGGGTACCTTAGTTCTTGCACTGTTGTTGTTGATGGTATATGGGGATCAAATTTCAAATCGATGTGAAATACTTGTTGGCTTTGCTAGAAAGAGCTGCCTTTGTGATTTATTTCTTCCGAATAACTCAGGAGCTGTTAGTATTGTGTTGCTCTCATGGTTGTTGCTGAACTGGGTTGTTCTGATGTTGCAGGTGATCAATTCCTCCAATTTAGCGAGGGCAGAACAAACTGGTTCTCTGGATCTTCTCATCACCCACTCTGCACTTAGGTAATGTACTTGAGACATGGCCCTGGTTTGAATAATGTCTGGGTTTTGGTTCCCTGATTCAATTGAATAACCTGATCTCGGGGGTACTTTTTCTCTATGCTCTGGGCATGCCTCGTGTTGGACCTGTCTTTTATCTGCTAACTACTGTTATCTGTGTTTCTAGTTGATGAATTTAATCACTTCTGGGAAGTAAACACTATGGGCTTACTGTCTTCACATTGGCTATTGCTGTATCTCTTGTTAACCTGCTCATTATAGGACATTTTCCATTGACTCTTAGACTTGTAATATTTGCTGGTTAGTAGCAGGCATTCAAAAGATTATTGTGCTATGTATGACATATGTGGAGAACGCAGTGATGGCAAAGTGCTTAACTGTCCTTATGGTTCACCGTCTGTGAAGGTATGCTATATTTCAGAGCACGAACACAGCACATTGAAGGACTAATGTCGTTAGCTCTTGTTCTAATTGGTTTTATTTACCAACGCCCTTTTTTCTTGATCATACTAAAATTCATTTCTGCAGCCTGATGAATTGTTTTCTGCTAAAATCCAAAGCTTATGTCCAACGATAAGTGGAAACGTTTGCTGTACCGAGGCTCAGTTTGATACCTTGAGGTCTCAGGTTCAACAGGTGAGGCTTTTCTTTGCTGTTTCATCTGAAAGAAAACAATAATAGAGATCAATAAGCAAATAGAAAGCCATGGATGATAGATAGTTCACACAAGCAGTGAATTTCAAAGGGATGGATGCTTTTGTTTTCTTATAGTTTCTTGATAACTCTTTGATTTCTCCAAGGAGGCATTTTTTCTTACCTGGATAGCTCATCTGGCTTTGTCGTATTATAATCATCTCATGATTCAATCTGTCTTTCAGGCTGTACCTTTTCTTGTTGGCTGTCCTGCATGTTTGAGAAACTTCTTAAACCTGTTCTGCGAGCTTTCGTGCTCTCCAAATCAGTCTTTGTTCATCAATGTCACTTCGGTTGCTGAGGTTGGCTTCTCCAATTCAACTTGGCATGAAGTCCTTAGACAATTTAATATTTTTGCTAGACTTGCATTTCTAATATTTATGATTGTTGTTTAAGGTGAAAGGAAATCTGACAGTGGATGCTATAGACTATTTTGTAACTGATGCATTTGGAAAAGGGCTATATGACTCATGTAAAGAGGTGAAGTTTGGGACTATGAATACACGTGCGATAAACTTTGTTGGCGGTGGTGCTCAGAATTTCAGAGGTGACCTGCAATCTATTTCCAAGCTCGCCAAACTCAATTTCCTTGTTTGGACATGTTGTGTTTCATCTGTAGTTTGCCTTTTCAGAGTGGTTCACATTCATTGGTCAGAAAGCTTTACCTGACTTCCCCGGTTCACCGTATGCCATTAATTTCAAGCCAAGCCCTCCAGATTCATCCGCAATGATGCCGATGAATGTATCTATTTATTCTTGCGGTGATACATCACTTGGTTGCTCCTGTGGTGATTGCCCTTTGTCACCTGCTTGCTCAAACACTAAACCTCCGCCACCCCATGAAAAGGAGACTTGCTTGATTAGAATTGGTCCTCTAAAGGTTGAAGTTAGGATATTGAAACATTGTGTCTTCAGAACATAGATGAGTTGTTGTGATTTTTTATTCGATTTTATCAATTTATAATTGCAGGTCAGATGCATTGAAATATCGATGGTAGTTGTATACGTTTTGATGGCCTCCTGTTTCTTTGGATGGGCTACTTTTTATCGCAGAAGACATGCAATGCAACCTTCAAGTAGCACAGAGCCTCTACTGCAATCTGTGGAAGAAGATAGTTCTGATACTGCATTGAAGGACAGCAAACTTGGTGTCAAGGTAGATCTTAGTGTTGGTTAAAATCTGTATTCCTTGTACAATATATATGCGGTGGATTACCCTGCATGATTAAAAATAAAGAAAAAAGAAATCTCTTCAAGGAAAGAAATAATGATCAGTCAACTTCTTCTTAGGTGGCGAGACATGCTCGACTATCTTCCGTTCAAAGATACATGGCAAACTTTTACAGGTCCATCTTCAGTTCTTTTCTTTAGTCATGAATATCCTGTGAGGCAATGATATAAAGAAGAAAATGAGAAAGTAATGTTATGACATTTTACATGTTTTCAAAATGTTTATTTCAGGGCATATGGATTATGGATTACTAGAAACCCATCTCTTGTGCTTTTTTGGTCGGTGGCTATTGTTATGTTACTCTGTTTAGGCCTTTATCGCTTTAAGGTGGAAACACGTCCAGAGAAGGTATGGAAATAGCTTCACCATGATTATGTAGGAACAATATGATTTGGATTAAAGTATGAAGTCACTCAAAATACTGCTAACATCTTTATTGTGACACTTCTATGTTTCATAGCTTTGGGTAGGTCCAGGGAGCAGGGCAGCAGAGGAGAAAAAGTTCTTTGATAGCCACCTTTCACCGTTCTACAGAATTGAACAGCTCATCTTAGCCACTGTTCCTGATGCCAAGACTGGGAAGGCACCGGGTATCGTGACGGAGGAAAATATTCTTTTGCTTTTTGACATACAAGAGAAGGTATTGGGAAAATTGTCTTGGATTTGTTGAAGTGGATCATAATGGGAAGTCCTTTACCATGATATTTTGGGTCAGCTGTTTATTTCTTTGTTTCTCTTTATTTTTTCCAACTTTCACAGGTTGATCAAATCCATGGAAATTATTCAGGTTCGGAGGTTTCTCTGACTGACATTTGCTTGAAGCCTCTGGGAATTGATTGCGCTACTCAGAGTATTCTGCAGGTCTATTTAGAATTAAAATAGTCTGAACGTTGGTGTTTTAGATACTTTACAGAGAATGGTTTCTGTCTTTGTCTTAGCTATGTCGACATGGAAACTTGTATTGCATAGAAAAATTTGATCACCTTCTGCACCTATCGTCTGACAGATTTATTTGAATTTTTTGCCTTCAGTACTTCAAGATGGATTCTGGAAATCTTGACGAATATGGAGGAGTTCAACATGCTGAGTACTGTTTCCAGGTAACACAACTTCTGTTTATACGACCCAGTCCCATCATAATCACTTTATTGAACATCTGCAATATCTTTAGCTATGACTGAATACTTCCTATGAAATCCCGTGTCTTCAAACTTCCAGCACTACACTTCGTCCGAGACGTGTCTGAGCGCTTTTCAAGCACCCGTTGATCCAAGTGCAGTCTTAGGAGGATTCTCGGGCAATAATTATTCAGAGGTAACAATGTTCACTTGCTCAAAACTATCTTTTTGTATGTTTCTCTGACCATATAGAAACTGTACAGGCTACTGCATTCGTGGTAACCTACCCGGTTGATAACGCCCTTGGAGATTCGAGCAATAACAATAAGAATGCAAGGGCAGTAGCATGGGAAAAGTCTTTCATTCAATTAGCTAAGGTTTGCCTGTTTGAACTTTGCCTTTCTTCTTATAGCTTAAATATGTATCATGCCTATTGTTGAAATTGATACTGCAGTTTTTTCCTTGATAGATATAGCAATATTATTATCATCTTAATTTCAAATTTGTTAGGAGGAGCTGCTACCCATGGCGCAATCTAGGAATTTGACTCTTGCATTTTCATCTGAAAGCTCAATCGAAGAAGAGCTGAAAAGAGAAAGCACTGCAGACATTATAACTATAGCTGTACGTTTATAATTATAATTGAGACATCTTTTACCATCTTCCTGCATCATGCCATAAACTTTTGTTTATTCTTTTTTTTTTTGTATCTTCGGATAGGGAAGCTACCTGGTGATGTTTGTTTACATATCCATCACACTTGGAGATGCTCCACTGTTATCTACTTTCTACATTTCATCAAAGGTATGATCGAATCTTCCTCTCAGCTGTCTTGTGTCTTGTAAAGGCATTTTAGTAGTGTTTACTCATAGGAATAAGGTGGCTTTGCATAAGGTTTAAAAATTATTCCTCCTCTCTAAGCCGCATAGTACAGATGTACCTCTCTTTGAAGCTAAAGATTCCCATTCATTTATCTGAAACTGGGACACAAGAAGACCAATGATTGCTGAAGTTGCCATCTGTTGACATAGTGTACTGAACTATATCACTGTTTCTAGGTTTTGCTCGGTCTTTCGGGGGTGGTGCTTGTCTTGCTCTCTGTGCTTGGATCGGTTGGTTTATTCAGCTTCCTTGGAGTTAAATCGACATTGATCATAATGGAAGTCATTCCTTTTCTAGTCCTGGCTGTAAGTCTGTTTTCACCCTCTGCAGTAAGAACAGTGGAAAATTGGGTGTATCTGTTGAGGGATATACTAATGATTTCCCCAAAATGTAACAGGTCGGAGTGGATAACATGTGCATTTTGGTTCACTCCGTAAAAAGACAGTCTTGTGGTGTTCCTTTAGAGGAACGGGTAAGCCTTGCTCTGGTCGAAGTAGGTCCATCCATAACACTGGCAAGTTTATCTGAGGTCTTGGCTTTTGCTGTCGGAGCTTTTGTTCCAATGCCAGCATGCCGTGTCTTCTCCATGTTTGCAGGTTCATAAGATATCCCCTTGTTGCTTTTTGATATCCATCTTTGAGAACATGAGTTATAACCTTTTTCTATATGGATGCAGCTTTAGCTATTCTGCTGGACTTCCTTCTGCAACTCACTGCTTTTGTAGCACTAATAGTTTGCGATTCCAAAAGAGCCGAGGATAACAGGATTGATTGTTTCCCTTGTGTAAAAGTTCCATTATCATCCGGAGAATCTGTAGGCGGTATGTTTGGAGTGTTATTATGAGCTTCTTTTCTATATGTTTTATTTGCTTACAACTTAATCATGGAATATATGCAGCTATCAACAGAAGATCTGGGTTGCTGGAGAGATACATGAAGGTGCAAATTTAATGTCTGAAACTAGAGTGTAGTTTCACTTTCTCCGTCATATTTGCACATCATGCACATACATATTTAGACTGAATTTCTGTTGTTTCTATTGTTCGGCTGTTCTGCAGGAGGTTCATGCTCCATTTCTTGGTCTCTGGGGTGTTAAAATGGTTGTGGTCGCTGTTTTTTTGGCGTTTACCATGGCGAGCATTGTAAGCTGCATACTACATTATGCTATCTCTCTGTTTTTTTTTTCCATTTTCCTTGCGTATAACCTTTTTACCAGTGATTTTGATATCTGTATTTTCATATGGCGCAGTAATATTTTTCTGTCAGCTCAAGCTTCCCACTGTTTTACATCTTTCAGGCCTTATGCCCAAGGCTTGAAACTGGTTTGGAACAGAAGATTGTTCTTCCTCGGGACTCCTACCTTCAAGTTCGTAGTGTTCCAATCTGAAACTATTTGTCTTTTGTTTTCCTTCTGTTCATTTTATGCTCATTCCATTCAATCACAATCTGGAGTTTTATTTGACAGGATTATTTTGACTCTCTTGAAGAGTACCTCAGAGTGGGGCCGCCATTGTATTTTGTTGTGAAGGATTATAATTATAGGTCATTTTCTCCGTCTCTGTCACACACATGCAAAAGGCACAAATGCATACTGGTAAATTAATCTGGCTGTTTTAGACATGATGGAATGGATTCTTTGTGCAGCTTAGAATCAAGGCATACAAATCAGTTGTGTTCTATCAGTCAATGCGATTCCAATTCCCTACTAAATGAGGTAATCGTTGAAGGAGTATATTTCTCTTGAACTTGCTATGACATAGTGCTTTCTGTACCTTCTTGTTACATATTAAAGAATCTTCAATTCAGAATAATTTTTTTTAATCAGCAATCTATGTGGTTCCTCTTTACTAAATTTATCATAAAATTACATTTAATTTTGATGTTTGTTGGGTCAAGTCAACTCCTCGAGAGTTGGTACTGTTCAGAGTTAAGTGGGCCAAACAAAAGGTTTTGCACTTTCAAAGTTTCATTTTTTGATCCTACGCTTTAATCATTTCTTCCAGATATCAAGAGCATCGCAGGTTGCAGAATCAAGTTACATTGCCAAACCAGCTGCTTCTTGGCTCGATGATTTTCTTGTATGGTTATCACCAGAGGCTTTTGGCTGTTGTCGGAAATTTACCAATGGAAGCTACTGTCCGCCAGATGACCAGGCCAGTTCTTTTCCTGCTGCTTATATTGAAAACTATTTGGGAATTGTGGTCAGACGACAAAGAAATCTTATGAAAGAAAGAAATAGGAAAACAAGTTTTGCTATCTGATACAATCAAATCATCTACAAGAATTAAGAGAACCCAAAAATCTCAAAATTCGCACCCACTGATCTTGAATCTCTGAAACTTTGTTTGCTAATTTGATTTCTTATTTTCCAGCCACCTTGCTGCTTGCCTGAGGATGATACGTGTGGGCTAAACGGGATTTGTAAAGACTGTACAACGGTAATTTTTCCTATCTCACTAGATGATATCTAGGATAGAGCTGACTCTGTAAACAAATGCAGTGCTTTCGACACTTGGATTTAGTCCGTGATCGTCCATCTACGGCTCAATTCAGGGAGAAGCTACCGTGGTTTCTTAACGCTTTGCCATCCGCTGACTGTGCAAAGGGTGGCCATGGGGCTTACACTAATAGCGTCGATTTAAGAGGTTTTCTGTTGCGTTCAGTTTTTTCCAAGAAGAAACCTGCTTTAACTTACAGGATTTTTTTTCCATTTGATTTGGAAGTCTGAGCTTCTTTTGGACACTTGATTTTGTCAGGTTATGAGAGTGGCATTATACGTGCATCTGAGTTCCGTACATATCACATCCCACTCAACAAACAAGTATGGCACTCGTGTTAGTGACAAACACCTGCTATGTCTGTGAAACAACATACCCTGAGTTTTAGTCTGTGCAATGTTTTCTCAGGGTGACTATGTTAATGCAATCCGAGCTGCTCGGGAGTTCAGTTCAAGAATGTCCAATTCTTTAAAGGTTTGACCTCCATGATCAATATTATCTTTTTTGTTTTTACGTTTAATATATTTTGAAGTTTAAAATGAAATAGCTGGGTTATTTCAAGGTGGACAATCAAGTGTCGTTCACCTTCTACAGAATATGTTTAAAATTTTCTAAGTGTGTAATGATCTGTCTCATCATGCAGATTGACGTCTTTCCATATTCGGTATTTTACATCTTCTTCGAGCAATATCTGGATATCTGGAGAGTAGCTTTGACTAACATTGCTATAGCAATCGGTTTGTTTCCGATCTTTCAAGTTTTCAGTTTCTGCTATAACTTATATAAAAGTGCGGCTCTTTCAAACTCCGATTAACTGTTGTGGCAGGTGCTATATTCATTGTCTGCTTAGTTATCACTTCCAGGTTGGTTCTTTTTCTACTCACTGTGAAAATCCTTGATAAGCTGTGCATGTCTTGACTTCATTTTTCTTTTTGTAATTCTGTTCAATTCCAGTGTCTGGAGTTCGGCTATCATCGTCCTTGTGTTGGTGATGATACTTTTGGATCTCATGGTACTTGTTTTGTTGACAACATCCACATAATACTTCACCGTTTTTCCTTTGATTCATATGATTCTTGATGCTTACAGTTATAATTACTGATAATGATGCGATCATGCAGGGTATGATGGCGGTTCTGCACATCCAACTCAATGCAGTCTCTGTTGTGAATCTGATAATGTCAATCGGGATTGCTGTAGAATTCTGTGTGCATATATCACATGCCTTCCTGGTAAGAACAAGTTTGTAGTCATTGATCCTTGTACGATTACTGCACCTAATCATACAGCAATTTGTAGCGGTGGTTTTATTGGCGCTTAGTTTAGATATCACCAACCATAACGGTCAGATTTGCTGGTCAAATCTTATCTTAGCTTTTAGATTAAGTTCTCATTTGCCAATTACCACACCGCATGACTTCTGTATACAGTAGTAACGTGTGTGTGGGTATGCATGCATGTAGTTCATGCTCTACATAGGAAAATATGTATTGTCTTTGTCAAAAGGAAGCAGTCTCTTTCTTAGACAATTCCCTTTCTTCTAGTAAATTCCATCCGCTAAAATTTTTTTTTAGCATCTTCGTGAGGCATCTGTTTCAACATGCTGAAATTTCGATAAAATATTATGACTCCTTTATTGCTTCAAAAACAGGTGAGTAGTGGGGATAGGGAACAAAGAGCGAAGGAAGCATTAGGAACGATGGGAGCTTCTGTGTTCAGGTGTTGAAGCTTACTATTTCTCAAGTTTGAGCTTTTTCCTGAAGGTTTTTAGGGTTTATGATATGCCACGACAATAGTTTAGTTGCTTCAAAAGATTACTTGGATTTCATGCTTCAAAGATTAGGTCATGGATTCAGTTTCAATTGGTTGCATATAATCCGTTGGACCACACAATCCATACCCAAGGATCTGAGGCTTTTCTGACTTCGTAAAAGAGAAGAAAGACGTCGATCTAGTGCCTGCAACATCTTTCTTTTATATATATATATATGAGGCATTGATATCAGCATTTGCCTCTGTTTTTGGACAGTGGGATTACGCTCACAAAACTTGTTGGAGTGGTTGTGCTTTGCTTCTCAAGATCAGAGATTTTTGTGGTTAGGACAGTAGCTCTCTCATTTTCTGCAAATCTTCCTTGGCACAGAGAACATCGAGTCTTTTCATAACGGATCTTTTGACGCTTACAGGTTTACTACTTTCAAATGTACCTGGCGTTGGTTATCATCGGCTTCTTACATGGGCTTGTTTTCTTACCAGTAAGTTACTTTGGTTTATCTGCTACCCTATGCTGGATGCGTCTCAGAGAAATTAGCTTGAACATGTAAAAAGTAGGTGCACAAAAAATGATTGTCTCACCTCCTGGCAGTTGGGGAAGTGTTGTTGTTTCTGTAGAGGGGGAAAGCAGTATCCATATTTTGATTGTGCCTAACGTGGCCCGAGAGTTTTTTTGTAGTCTTGGTGGCTTAAATAGTCTTTTATAGGGTCTGAGACAACTTGTTTAAGAAAATCATGATGTTGCCGAGACACTAAAAAACCAAAACTATATATGTCAGCCATGACAGTTCAGATAAAGTGGTGCGACTGTGACACAGTCATGGAAAAACTTGCTGTTTTTTTTTGTGTCCATATTCTGAAAGGTTTAGAAGAGTTTTAAGCTGGAGCTAATGGTGGTTCATGTATATGTTTGGTTTCCAGGTCATATTGAGTTTAGTTGGTCCACCGCCACGACACAGAGACATTGAGGAACACCACAGAGACGAAGCATCTTCTTCGGTGTCAAACTGATGAACGCAGATATTCTATATGGACGACTTTGCATCAGTGTCCAAGAATCATACCATATGTTCTTACTTTACGCGGTACAACGGTCTTTGGGGGTACGGAGCAACAGTAGATAGGAAAAGGACCCGAGTCCAGAAGTAGAAAACATCTTTTAAAGGCTCTCATTGTATGATGATACGATTCTTGGGTTCTTGAGACCAAAGATCTTTTAAAGGGATTGGCGGGATGATCCCAAAGTGTTTCACACTGACAAAGTCTATTTCTCAATGTTATGGAAGTACAAGAGACTTGTATATTGTGGCTGAACTTAATTCCAAAAAAAAAAATGGGAAAAAAGAAAGATTATACTTTTCCATCGCCTGGTGGTGGTGTTGTCAATATTTTGAGAAATTGTTTTTGCCATCAAATGCCGATGGAGCAACGGGAGTTGTGGCTGCCAGAAGTGGGAGCCCTTCATTAGGCCACTGCGGTATCCCATGTTGTCTGCTTATCCCTTTATGTTTGAGTGTTCTCCTTTTCTCATCATTCATTAATGTAGTTGAGGATGCATGCACGGTCTTCCTTCCTTGTTACAAGCAAACACATCCCATGTTAAACGCCTATTCAATTTTCCGCTTTCATCTCTTACACAATACCCTCTTCTCTTGAAATGACATATGATGATATGACCCTCCCGTCAGGATTTTTTTTATTGTTCCAAAAAACAAACCAACTACATTCTTGACAAACTTGCTTCCACAGTTCACTTCTGCCAGCTCCGCTTCTAACTCCTTGTCCCAGGGGAACCAAATTATACCCCCGACACTAGGGGTCATGACCCAGAAGTACTCTCTAGCGCATTCGTGTACTCACTTTCGAATTTACCCTCCTAGGAAAACGTATAAAGAACGATTCCCACTACAACCATTTGCCTAATGCCATCATTCTCTGACGTTGCAGAGATGGAGATAAGGGTTATTGTACAAGACATACTTGGACCAGTAAGGTTTATACTTAGCGACTGCCAAATGCAGCCACGGCTTGTAGTTCCCATTGTAATGTACAACAGCTGCATTCTCTATCTCTGTCTGATTGAGCGCTGGGTCATAGCCAAGCCCCAGTACATGCCAGCTCCGTTCCAATGGAAACGTCAGGTTGTAGAAAGTGATCAGTCCTGGTGGTAACGAGCCTAACTTCCAGAGTGTCCTGTCCTCGTTCTGAATCCACAGTTTCAAAAAGTCAATTAAACATGTACATGAAGATAGGAACATCTTAAGCCATGAATAGTACGTATGGTCTTACCATGTCTTGCCAATGGTGATATATCCCAGTGATATTCCGCTTTCTCCACTCTTTCAGGTCGAACATGTTCATGCCAAATGCCCACCCACAAGCATTTGGACTGAAATTCTCTGAGATCTTTGGATTAGAAAAGTTGAGGTACTTGTCGAATCTGTGGAAACTCTCCTTGCATGTTTCAACAGCACCATTCACCTTTCCTTGCATGTCAATCGACCAGAGAGGTGCCAAGTCCTTTTGCACCACAATGTCATCGTCAAGAAATAGAATCTTGTCCAGTTTCGGATAAACTTCAGGAAGGTAGAATCTGAGATGGTTCAGCATTGACAGATACTTTGGATTCCTGTACTTCAGATTGTCTGCGCCAGCAGAGATTGATGAAGGATGATTCGCCTTGAAGTAGTATTCTTTCAGCCTTGCAGATTCAAGCTGCCTTAGAACAGAGCAGTAAGAGGAATTCAGCCACTTGAAATCATTAATGTTCTCAACTTGAATTGTTGCGCCAGAAGGAGCGTTGACGAGAAACCACATCTTCATTGCAGCAAAGTTTAATTTGTCAGTCACAATATGAAACACATGCTTCTGTGGTTCCTTGGCATTCAGGATGGTGGAGTTGACCACAACTGATGTCGCCAGAACGTTATCAGAAAAGATGGCATAGTGATGGAGAGAAGAATCTTCAAACTTTTCTCTATCAGCATCTTCTTTGGCGACACCCTCTTTGACAAAACCAAGAAGGAAATAGTCTGCTGCTAGTTTCAGAGTAAGGCAATGCAATGGCCTTGGAACTGTTTTTGCAGCAAGCTGAATTAAGAAGGCACTCTTTTTCTTCATTCCATCTACATGGCCTTCAGTTGACTGAAGCATGGCCCTGAACTTTTTTGCAACTTTATGGCAGTCGTATAACTGGTCTTTTGCAAGTGAGAGAGCATGACCCATAGCTTTTGCTTGATCAAGTGCACTGGAGAACACAAGTGCACTGGCTGAAATTCAAAGACAATCGGGCATGTATAGTTAATCAAAGACTGAGGTGAAGGTGCAGAAGTACCTGGTGGGAAGGTCTGCATCAGAGATTGCTTCTCCTATAACATGCCAATTTTCTCTGCAATGCTGCATCAGAGAGTCATAAAGATTAGTCGCATTGTTCGCCTTCGCAATATTTGCATATGCTTTTGCCATGATAATTTGGTCTCGCATAAGCTTCAAGGTTGAATCGGAGTTTGGACTTTCGTAGTCTCTCCTCCAGATACTGTATTTCCCCTTGACTGAGTTATCAAAGTTCATCGACCGCTCAATAGCTGCTTCTTGCATCTGCTCATCAGTTTCCTTATCCCGTCGAATCAACTCCAGCATCCGTTGTGCTCTCCTTGCCTGTCGTAAGACCTGAATGGCAGTACCATTGTCACAATCCCAGGCTACTCTAAAAACAAAAAAACAGTGATCACACATAGAAGTATTTCATAGATACCCGACGCTTTAGTTTCACTGGGCCAGTAAATTCCAGTTGCGGAAACTGGATTTCACTTTGACCAGGCTGATTACGAGCTGAATAGCTGACAGTCGCTTCCAGTCTAGAGCCATTTTGAAACGGTTCCCTTGGTACCACCACCTAATTCCCATAACAATGTCAGCAACCACATAGATAAAAGGGAGCAAGTTTGAAATTACAAATCCCAGGAACCAAATGGCATTTGTACAATCTTTCTAGGTTTTGTAAGGATTCTACTAATCAGACTGAGGCAGAGGCTACTATGAACTATTAAATGTTGGGTAACGAGAGGTGATGATTGTTCCACATGAAGGCCGAAGTAATAACTAACTAGCCCTTCTACACTCTAAAATTTTCTCCCCAAGCTTCATATATTTGGTTATATGGTTTTTTATTTTTTTAAAAATGGTGATATAACTTTCTAAAACAAGAAAACTGAATCCCGGTACCTGCCGACCTTTCGCCCTGGCGTCAACACGACCGACGGGGGGGCTCTCTAAAACCCAAGAAGCTGAAAGATCCCCCATTTTCACCCTTCCAAGCCGAATGTTGCCATAATGGTCACTGTAAGTCGCAATGACGCTCACATCCTGAAATAGGAAGTTCATAAGAAGCATCAGATGCATGATTGTTTGTTAAAAGGATGGAAAAGTCGGGCAGTAACCCTTACTTTAAGATCTGGGTCGTGGTGGACAGCAACAGAAGACGGAACATAGACTTCCTGAAGCCATAAGTAGATTAGTTTCAAGTGTCAATCACATGTAACAGATCCCAGAAAGCACACTATGATTCGAAAAATTTCATGTGGATCTGGAAGTCCGATATAATGAATCAAACTCATAAGCCTGGTGTTTGAAGAGGGGAGTGAAACCTGTAGAGTATTACATCCAGGACAATTACGCAGTGGCCGATAAGCTTTGAGATCTCGGTGGCTGCAGAAGGAAAAATCAAGGAAGAAACAGGAAGGTAATCAGGGCATAGTCAAAAGGGGAGCTTTCAGGCGACGGGGAGGATCACCGGACGTTCTATCAGGGCATAATCAAAAGACGAGCTATCAGCACCTTGTTCGTGTCTCTAAAATCACTCCATCGACATGGACAGCACGGAGCATAACCTGCGATACATCAAACACGAAACCAATGAACTCAACCGAGCTGTGCCGTATTCGTTGAACAAGAAATGGAACACGAACAATTCGCTACAACACAGCGTCCGTGAAAACCTGTCCAGATTCCTACGAAAAAAAAAAACAAATCCGAAGCAGGAGAGATGTCAATCAAAATAACACATGAGAGGCGCACGTACCAGCCCCAAAAAGATGAGGAACGGAGAATTCATCCCCATCTGATCAACCACATCGCCGGCGGACAGGAGGATCACTTTTACAAGTAAAATTCGCAAGGCAACTTTTGAAACGCGCACGTGGTGTTGTTTCGTAGTAACTAGAACCACATACAGTTTCAACTGAGAAAAAGAGAACCACACACATTTCCTTATTTTCTTTTGCTGAACATTATGGGTTGATGAGTGATGAATGATGGATCCGCTGAGGTCGTGGACGTGGTGGACGGCAGGACGTGGCTTGGCTGAACGAGGCCTTCCTCACAGATTTCAGGCCCAATGCTAAAACCCGTTCTAGAACGTTTGATATTCACGGTACGGTCGTCAATATCAGTACCTGTTGATGATACCCACCAAGAATGGAACGCGTCCTTGTTGCGCACCCGAGGCAAAAATGAGCAGTTTTCGGCATCTTCGGTGCCACCATCTTAGCTTCATCTTCATCGACTGTAAACAGGTGGCCGAAGGCCTTCACCCGCATGTTTACAGCTAACCAAATCACACATATATGGTTACCACATTAACGCGGCAAAGTGTCCGACTTGTGAAATAAGTTATCGTAAAACCCAAGTCTGGTTACATACTTTACTTGTCGGTACAAGCGTGCAAACGTTTAACATAAACGTCCAAGGATTCACCTGGGAACCTTTATTACAACAACAAACAATAGCAACAGATACAGACATATTCTAAACAAAAAGCAGACTCCCCATAAAAGGGCACAGATCACACTTGGTGCTGAGACTCAAAACACGCACAAAAAACTCGACATGCCTCTCATTCAGGACATTTTAGACTTTCACGGAGAAGATCTCACTCAGAGAACTCCAAGTTCCTGACACGGCAAGAACCACACCCAGCACCACAATCCCCGTATCCAGACTCCATTGCTTCCACCCAAGTTCTTCCTTGAACACCATCAAATGAAACAACGCAGGCAGCACAAACCCTAATGCACAGCATACGCTGCTTCCCACCAACGACAAGAAATCTGCAAAGTTTGGCACAAAGAGAGCAGCTAGTGTCACTACTAAGACGAGCACCCATCTCAGCCACACACAGTACATTCCACCCCAGAAGCGTCTCTCAACAATCTCAAACACAGGGTTCATCATCAGTGGGAAGGTGAAGAACAGGTTTACACACAATCCCAGCTGAACAAGAGCGCTGATCAGTCCTGGCCCCAAGTTGGCAGTGATTATGTCCATTGTATCTCCCCCGAAAGCCATGTAACCCAATACGCCAAAAGCTCCGTATATGAGGGAGATGAGTCCCATTCCAAGCGCCAAGACTTTGCCAAACTTGTCCTTCTCCTTCATCTCGGATTCAAGTGGCAAAACCATCCCGATCCCCTCGAATGCATAAACAGCCACGCCCATCCCATAGAAGAACACAGACATTCCACCAAATGCAACAACCTCAGGTCTTTGCTTCAGCGAAATCATTACATCCTCCACAATCACCACAGCCATCGCTCCAAGATCAACGACATCAGCGAATATGCTAAGAGGAGCCAAGTGCGTCAGCGTCTTAATCGAATTCAAGCCCAACTGAAATGGAAAACATCCCCATATGTAGAGACTCTTCGGGGACATGCCCAAGAATCCAGAACTTAAGCTTGAAATCTGGTGCCTCAGGCTCGTGGGTGAATCGGGATTGAAGAGATTAGCTAAAGTATTGCCGATGAAGATCAGATATCCAATGCAAAACCCAGCCTGAGACAAAGTTATAAGAATGTCAACGACAAACCTGCCAACGGAGCCACAGACGGTGAATCCAAGATCCCCAAAAGAGACGATCTTAGAGAAACCGCCATTCAAAGCTTCAAGCTTCCGGCGGGTGTTAATCAAAAGCATCATACAGTAGTGGGTTAAAGCGGCAACGCAGAAGAGCATCAGCACACCCATGAGCCATCCGGTTCGCTTGAAGGCGTACGGAAGACCCAGAACCCCAGCGCCGACGATGGCTATGAAGACGTTGGCAAAAGTCTTGAACTGGCTCGATAACGGTTTTCCCTTGCCGATTAGCGGGGTATCTTCTCTCGCCGGCGGGATTTTGAGGGTATAAGACGAGGAGCTAGCTTCTTTCTCAAAACCCATCTGATCTTCGATCAAATTGTGCGCAAAGAGGCGAAAGTTTTCACCAATAATTGCAAAACTCAGCGAATCTCAGAGCTGAATTTTGGAATTTCGATTCGAGGAGACCAGACGAGGTGAAATCCGAAATCAAAGAGCTGCGAAGATAGGCAATTGGGACGGTAGCACCGTGAACGGAAGACGACTAGAATTATTGGATGAATTGCGTGTAGCAAGTGAAATCTCGCTTGTCCGCATCTTCGCTAGCTGCCTATTAATGGATAAGTATTCTTTAAAAAATCATTACCCTTAAAAACGACGGCGTTTCGGAACGACCGTGGGTCTGCGCAGACTCTTCAACCCCTACCTTGGTATGTCAGAGATGAATCTCCGAGGCTCGGTTACTACAAACCCGGCGAATCTCCAGAACAGCATTATGCCTTTGAGCTTTGAGCTTTTTCTGCTTAAAGGTTTTCGCTTTTGATTTGGCAGTGATAACAAGAAAAGAAAAGGGGATGATCGGATCTCGTTGATCTCTCAGATTCATAAGCTATTCCAGATACCATTTTGCGGAGGAAGAGATATGGCGAGGATTCCTTGCGACTTCAGATTTCTTCTGATACCAGCAGCTCTCATGTTCATCTATATCCAGGTGAAGCTGAACTTCATGATCTCTGTCGTCTTGTTTGAGACTTGATTTGTTTTCTTCGGGCGATTAACAAGATCGATGGGTTCCCGTCGATTTACTGTGAATGTGTGATTTTTCGCACTCTTCCTCATTAATTGACGATCCGTGAATCCAAATCAGTAAGTTATGCCGTATTCTTAAAGCTCTCTCGTATTTTTTGCGCCTTTCTTAGATGCGGCTTTTTCAGACGCAATCAGTATACGCAGATCGCCTAGCCACCGCTGTAAGTCAATCTCACTAGTCCTCGTTTCCAGTTTTCCTTGTGTTTTTGGGTAGAGAGTTGTTTCTAGTGTCTGCTTACACCTACCAGTTGGGTATGTGTGCATCACCTGCAATCTGGTCTTCGAACTTGCAGTAGTATTAAGAGCCGGTTTGGTGCTCTTGCCTTGCATGAAGTCCCCTTTAGTTTCGAAGAAATCCATGGATCTTAGTCTTGAAGTCGTTTGTTTAGTTTGTGATGAAGATGAATGAGAGCTCCATAGTCATAGTTTTTACATACCTTTTGTTCATCAAATGTCTGCAGATTGAATCGGAGAACCATTGTACGAGTCAAATGCGAACTCTGATAGATGAAGTAAGCATAAAACAGACGCGGATTGTGGCTCTTGAAGGTATCTGTTATGCTTTTCCAATTGCAACTTGTTGAATATTAGACGACATTGATACCTGAGTCTTCTGAAAATGAGAAAAACACGTCATACATGTCTTACTGGTAGGAAATTATTGAAATGTAGCAGATTGATGTTATTTGCCTGCTTCCGCATGATTCAACTTGTATTTGCAGAGATAAAGAGCCGCCAGCATCAAGAGCTTGTGCAGCTAAAGGATCTGCTTCAGACATTTCAAAGTGTGTTGCCGTCAATGATAAAGTTTATTCTTCTTGTTTTTCCTTTAAACTTTTGGTGCTAATGCTTATTTTGTTCTTTTAGGAAAGGGAATAGCAAAACTCATTGAAGGCGGACAGGTCTGGGGAACAAAATGTCTTTTTCTTTTCAGATTCACGTTTGTGGTATTGCTTTCACTTTTTTAACTGTTTTGTTTTGGATTCAATAGACGCCTTTGGCTGCTGTGGTGATCATGGCTTGCAATCGTGCTGACTATCTTGAAAGGACAATTAATTCAGTTCTAAGGTTTGAAGCTAAAGTGATTTGATTCTTATAGAATGTCTTACTGGACTGTCTAGTTACTAATTGTTGCTTGGTCATCTGTGGCTTGATTCTTACAGATATCAAAGTCCCATTGCTTCAAAGTATCCACTTTTTGTATCTCAGGTACTTATGCTTCTGTATTTGCACTATGGAAGGGTGATGGCTTTTTATTGATACAGTTGTTTATTCTTACTATTCTTAAAAATGGTCTTAAGAGGACTCTTCTATTTCCATTAATTTACTGACAGGATGGATCTAATCCAGCCGTCAAGAGTAAGGCTTTGAGCTATAATCAACTTACATACATGCAGGTGAGTTTTACATCTAGTGTGATGGTTCTCTTTACCATTCAACTGTTTTGGTCACTTAGATCAATGATACAGAGGATTTTTTCTCGTCTTAGCACTTGGATTTTGAACCAGTGGTGACTGAAAGGCCTGGCGAATTGATTGCATACTACAAGATTGCACGTAAGGATTGGTTCATCCTTTCTTCTTGTCTTTCTTAGTTCCATGACTGAGAAAATGGCTTCTACAGGTCATTACAAGTGGGCATTGGACCAGTTGTTTAACAAGCATAAATTTAGCCGAGTGATTATACTAGAAGGTTAAACTTTTTTATCCTTCTTAAAATCCTTATCAGTTTACCTTTCTGTTTAAAGCTGTTGCGCTTACGGGGTTATATATGTTCTTTTGAATACAGATGATATGGAAATTGCTCCAGACTTTTTTAATTACTTTGAGGCTGCAGCAAGTCTTATGGATAAGGATAAGTATGGCTAATGCTGATGCTATAATTAAGTTTCGAGAAACTGAAAGGGTTTGTCTCTTGTTACTCACTACTTTCTAAATACAAAATCGTGGTAGGACCATTATGGCTGTTTCTTCATGGAATGATAATGGGCAGAAGCAGTTCGTGCATGATCCTTGTAAGTTTTCTGGTCTCTGTTCTGCTTTTTTTCTTCTTCTCTCTTTACTTGTCCTTGTGCCATAGCTTATTGTTTTCTGCTTATGCTAGCTCATGTGATTTGCAGATACACTTTATCGCTCAGATTTTTTCCCAGGCCTTGGGTGGATGCTGACAAGAGCTACTTGGGATGAGCTATCACCGAAATGGCCAAAGGCATATCCTTGTTTGCTTAATTTTGTCTAATTATGACGAATTTTTATTCTTAATTCCTGTTTGATCTATGATATTCCTTGACAAATCTCTACTTACTGGGATGATTGGCTGAGACTAAAAGAAAACCACAAAAGTCGCCAATTTATTCGACCTGAAGTATGCAGAACATACAACTTCGGTGAGCATGTATGTATGTAAACATTTCTACATCTTCTATTCTCCTTACTGCGGCCTCGCCTTGCTACATTTTGTCTTCTGCTTTCAGTTCGAATACCATAATTTACAGCTTCGCCATAAAGTTATTTGGGATAACCTCATAGCCTTGTAAAGTATGTACATTGTCAATACAGATCATTTTTTCTCTTCTTTGCCATTCATACAGGTTTTCCGTTTTCGTATGCAGGGCTCAAGTTTGGGTCAGTTTTTCAAACAGTATCTGGAACCTATAAAGCTAAATGATATCAAGGTAAGCCCCGATTGTTTCCATTATGATTTTTGTCCTTGATTTTCACCCGTATTTGGTATATCGGAAACTGTGGATTTTCTGTTTTGGTCATAAAGGTTGACTGGAAATCGATGGATTTGGGTTACCTGACAGAGGTAGTATCGACAGAACTCAATGCACCATATCATCTTCTTTATCCCATTACATGCTTTTGAAGAATAAATCGATTGGAATTTGCTCTTTTTTTATACAGGGAAATTACACCAAATACTTTTCTGGCTTAGTGAGGCAAGCACAGCCAATACATGGTTCTGATCTTGTCCTTAAGGCTCAAAATGCCAAGGGGGATGTTCGCGTTCTTTATAAAGACCAGGCTGATTTTGAACGTGTTGCGCATCAGTTTGGTGTTTTTGAGGAATGGAAGGTGAAAGACTCCACAGAAATAATGTTTCTAGTACTCTCTCTGATACTGTCTCCGGAACTTTTGACATTTTTGTGCCTCAATATACAGGATGGTGTACCCAGAACAGCATATAAAGGAACAGTGACCTTCAGGTTGCAGTCGTCCACGAGGCGTGTATTCCTAGTTGGGCCAGATTCTCTCATACAGCTTGGGATTCGAGATTCTTGATAACAAACATGTACTTGGACAGATAGGATCATCTATTTTCTCTCTTTGTACTCCAATCCACCAAGACAGTTTCACACAGATAAAAGTTGAAATGTCAGCATGTATTGCACTTTGATTCGGTTAACCCCAATGCATAGAAAAAAGGCGGATCCAAGGAGGAAAGTGTTAGAGTCCCATATCGGAAATATGTGGGAACAATTGAGTCAATATAATATCATGGGCACCCTCCCCCAATAAGCTAGCTTTTAGGGTGAGTTCTACCCATGGGCTTTGAGACTTTGTTGGGTCCATTATTAATGGGTGGGTTCTATCAAATTGGTATCAGAGCCAACCGATCCTCGGACATGCAGATGACGCAGCGGGAGAGGAGCACAAAGGGTGCGTAGCCGCCAGCGCCGTGGTCGTCGCTGTCTAAAGGGGGCGGTATTGTTAGAGTCCCACATCGGAAATATGTGGGAACAATTGAGTCAATATAATACCATGGACACCCTCCGGCTTTGAGACTTTGTTGGGCCTATTATTAATGGGTGGGTTCTATCAGAAAGACCTGGGCTCTGATCACCTGTCTCATAAGGTTTGGTTAGACAACGTTTATTTGCGACATATCTATCTGCGGACTTCGTATCTATGTGTATGAGTATGACTAGTTGCAAAACATCGCATAATATCTTTCCTTCGATTCCTTTCTCCTTCTCTGGACACTTTGCTTGGAGCTAAGAACTTGTACAGGTTATACATTCTCTTGTTCATATTCACCCGCAATTGACTGTCTCAGGTTATTCACCTGGTGGTAGACATCTTGAATATCCTTGCTTTTTATCTTACAGTCCAGATGTGTCCCTTTCCACTTGTTACACAAGAGAGGGGGATTGCAAAGAACAAGGAAACTGCTTCAAATTAATTTTTCCCTGTGGAATTCCAAACAGGGCGAGCTAGAACCCACTGCATTTTTAGTATATTCTAAAAAAAGATTGACATGTTGGTAAATATTATTTCTTTTCTGTTCCTTTTCGCAGTTGAGAATATTATCAAATTGTTTGGTTCTCTGTATTTTTAGACAGTCTCAGGGTGACGTTGGCGAGAATATTGCAAAACCATGTTCAACAGAGAAGAGAAGTTCGCTGGTCAGCATTGATCATCGGGGGAAAAGGAACATTTTTATTATCTGGGGATTGAAATCCATGCATCTCAACCCATTATCTTCCTCCCGGTAATCCCATATCCATACCTTCCTCTCTTTGCTGTTTTTCTCGTCGGTTTCTGGGAGTCTCTGTGTCATGTGCTTTTGCTGTGGAAATGATTGGAAAGCGGGCTCTTCTGTTTCTTTATGGTAACCTTTTCTCCTTTCATTTGATGTTTCAGATTGATGCCAAGGGATATTTAAGAGAGGAAGTGAACTGATAGGGATTGGTTTGTAATTGTTTGATGGGCAATACATGTGGCGGTTCTTCAAAGGACCAGATTTACCAGAGATTTGATCCAGCCGAAGGGACTTACAAGACAAACGCTTCCTGTGATCCATCAAATTCTGGTATTTCTCCTATTTGCCTCAACGCCCAGGAGCTTGCGAAAGAGACCCCCACAAAGGCCAACAACGCAGTTCTTAGCCCTCGAAAAGAAGCCATTATGAGGCGTAACAGTGGGAACCAAGCCTGCTACGTTATAGGTCACAAGACCCCAAACATCCGAGATCTTTTCTCGCTCGGGCATAAACTAGGACAAGGACAATTCGGAACTACTTATCTGTGTACGGAGATCTCCTCTGGCCGTGAATATGCATGCAAGTCAATATCCAAACGAAAGTTGGTCTCCAAGGAAGATGTGGAAGATGTTCGAAGGGAAATTCAGATAATGCACCATCTGGCTGGCCACAAAAACATTGTCACCATTAAAGGTGCCTATGAGGATCCACTGTATGTTCACATAGTGATGGAGCTTTGCTCTGGTGGGGAACTGTTCGATAGGATCATCCAGAGAGGGCATTACAGTGAGAGGAAAGCAGCTGAGCTGATAAAGATCATTGTCAGTGTTGTTGAGGCTTGCCATTCACTTGGTGTCATGCACAGAGATTTAAAGCCGGAGAATTTCTTGCTGGTTAATAGGGATGACGACTTCTCTCTCAAAGCCATTGATTTCGGGCTTTCTGTCTTCTTCAAACCAGGTGAACACCACAATTTTGCTAAGGCCTTGTTGATAATTCAGCCGCATTTTCAATTCAATATTGCTTTCTTCTGCTTATTATGGAGAGTTGGAGATGAACTGTGGAAAGATCACAACCCTTCTGGCGACTTTTTCCACTTAGTTTTTTCAATGTTGATCCAGCTGGGATTCTCTTGCTAAGAAAAAATCTATAAAAGGACAATTCTAAATAATCTTTGGCTTTGTCTCGCATCATATGCAACTTATAGGTCAAATATTCACGGATGTTGTCGGAAGTCCATACTATGTAGCTCCAGAGGTCCTTCTCAAGCACTACGGTCCTGAGGCTGACGTGTGGACCGCAGGCGTTATACTATACATACTGTTGAGTGGAGTCCCTCCGTTCTGGGCAGGTCTGCACATCTTAGCTCTATGAAACAACTTTGATGCTTTTTAAGGTTTTATGTGCAGAGAATAAACAGTATATTACCTTTGCATGTTCGACTCTAGAAACACAGCAAGGGATCTTTGATGCAGTATTGAAGGGACATATTGACTTTGACTCTGACCCTTGGCCGCTAATTTCTGACTCTGGAAAAGACTTGATCCGTAGTATGCTATGTTCCAGGCCCTCTGAACGATTGACTGCCCATGAAGTGTTGCGTACGTATAATTCCCGTTCCTTTTCCTCTGCCCGCATTGCACGAGTGGCATATGTCTGGTGGCTTTCTATATTTCCTGTGAATTTCTGCAGGCCATCCTTGGATCTGTGAAAATGGAGTTGCACCGGACAAGGCATTGGATCCTGCAGTGCTTTCTCGTCTCAAGCAGTTCTCTGCAATGAATAAACTAAAGCAGATGGCTTTAAGAGTGAGTACTGCAACTCTTACGCATCGTTGCTAGCGCATTTTTAGATGTTTTACCAGCTTGTGGAACACAATCCCATAAATGCCATCTGTTGTTATTCAGGTGATAGCTGAAAGCCTCTCCGAAGAAGAGATCGCTGGATTAAAGGAAATGTTCAAGGCAATGGATACGGATAATAGTGGTGCTATAACATTTGATGAGCTCAAAGCTGGGCTACGAAGATATGGTTCTACGCTTAAAGATACCGAGATTCGTAACCTTATGGAGGCAGTAAGTATTCTGTTTTGATCTGTCCGAATATGTGAGAAGTAAAAAGCTTTCTGACGCGCTGTTATGCGTGGAATTCACCAGGCAGATGTTGACAACAGTGGGACCATAGATTATGGTGAATTTATAGCTGCAACAATCCATCTGAACAAATTAGAACGTGAGGAGCATCTCCTCTCAGCATTCAGGTACTTCGACAAGGATGGGAGTGGTTACATCACAATTGATGAGCTCCAGCAAGCATGTGCGGAACAGGGAATGAGTGATGTCTTTCTAGAGGACGTGATCAGAGAAGTCGACCAAGACAATGTGGGAAACCTGCACTACCTGGACATCATCAGCTGGGAAAAATCTGGAATGGTTCAAGTTTTCTTACCTCTTTTCTGTGTTGTTTCAGGACGGAAGGATCGATTATGGAGAATTTGTCGCCATGATGCAAACAGGAATCGCTGGAATCGGTAGAAGAACAATGGGAAAAAGCTTAAATATGAGCCTCAGAAGCTCTGGGATCTCTTAGCGGTTAACAAGTGATGACAGGGTTACGTACAGGTTAGTACTTCCCAGTTCCCAGTTCCCTGTCAACTGACATTTCTGTTTTTCAGTTAAATACCTTTAGATTCCGCGAAGAATAAAAGATACCAATCCGATCATCAAATCCTTTCTTTTCCCGTCTGTCAGTCCAGACCATCTGAATCTCCAGAGGTGAACGAAGCTGAGCCAGGATGAGCTGACTTTGGGTCTTCCGTGTTTGAGACCTTCCCACTGAAGATTTGGATAGAGAAAAGTTGTGTATGCCCTAGAATGCTCTGGATATGTAAATTAGGCACTGTGTACTGACATTATATAGGGAGTTTGTGCACTGTTAAACATTTGAGATCTCTGTAATATGACGGATATGAATATATCCTACCAAGTGATTTATTGCAGATCTACAGTGGTTGTTCCAATCACTGTTACATCTTACTCGTTAATGGTTGATGGAGTTTAACGGATTCGTCCTCTAAAACAAGAAGTTCTAGTCCTCGAGGGATAATATCAATCACTTGGTGCATCTACTATGATTATTTCATATCCCACTTTTTTCCTTAAATTTTTACTTAGTGTACGTGTTAGCGACGTAGCATTCTAAACTATACCGTTACTTTTGCTACCGTCACGATAAATTTGACTCTTTTCCGTGTTCCCACCTACATATATATAACAAATTTTAAGAAGTGGACATTTTTATTAGTAGAGTCGGGATCTTTGGGACAAAAATATGAAGTGTTGTTACACTATATTTTTTTACAAGCCGCAGGAATTACCACAAGAATATCTTTTAGGTTAATTCAAACCCTTCTGGTAAAATACGAACAACTCCCATATTCATATAGTCAGAACTTGTTCATAAAGAATTTTAAAAACTGCTTCAAATACAACATCAGAAAAAGTTCCGCTTTGAGGAGAACAGATGGGTGATTCTCTGAGACATCACAGTGAAAATCTGGCTTTGGGATTTGGCTTAATGAGCTTGCCCAGTGGGAAGGTTATTGGAATAAGGACGCGTCTGAGAATATGTGGAAACCGCTCTATTGTGATAAGAGGTCCCATCCATTACCATCATTTCAAAGTATGGATGATGCTTCTGTAGCGACTACCGGCAGCAGTGACTTGTGTCATGCAATAGAGCATGGGATTTCCAGTTGACGCTTGGGTTATGAGGGAGATAATGAACGAGAGAGAACATGGTCAAGCACCAGCGACATATATGAAGAAGCCATTTCTCTGATGAAAATTAACAAGCTGAAAAGGAGGGTTTCTTCAAGAACTTTCAATCTGTTCCTGAAACCCGTAACATCACAAAGCATGTCTGATTACACGGAACTCACAGCCTAGCATGATGGGTTCAAGTCACTTATTTATGGTACATTTTGTTACTGGTGGTAGAGGAGCGATTGAAGGTTATAGCTTGTATCATGCCACAGTAATTCCGGAAAAGGAGCAATGAGCACGGCCTCTTGTATGGCGAGATCTGTTTGGATATAGACCCTTATAACTCATCGCGCGCACCAACATCTGTTTCAAGTGGAACATATGATGCATAAGCCTTGATGATGGAGGCATACACATCAATTCCCTTCAAGTACTCGGCTTTACTCAGATACTGCAACAAAAGCGAGATGAGATGAGATGAGTCGGATTTCCAGTTGAAGCTTGGGTTATGAGGTGATTGTAAACACTATGATCCACAAAACAACGAGGAAAATGGGGGATGCTCCATTACGTTTGGATCAAGTTTGTAAGAAAAGAAATACCTCATTGTGGTCGTGAAGCAAACTTGGGGTATTTGATATGGGAGAGAATCCAATGGCAGGTAAGCCAGCTCTCCGGAAATAACGAGCATCTGTTGATGCAGGGAAAATTTCAGGTTTCCCAGTCTTCCCGCCAGCTTCTCTCACAGCATTTTCCAACAGTCCCCACCATGGATTTGACTGATCTGTTGCTGTAAGAAGCGGCTTCCCAGAGTTATCAAGTGGATCCGCCCTCTGCTTGAACTGTCCCAGCTGAATCTTAATTAGTTAAAGAATCTAAGAGAATCTTTAGGTACACCTTCATCATAGCTTGCAGGAAAGAGAGTTTCTGCAAGCTACAACAAATCACAGCCCATACTAGAAGCAGATATAACTTTTTCATACCATAACAAGTTTCAATCAGTGTTGTTAAATAGCCGCCATGACATCATGCACATA